TTTCGTCACCCCCACCCCCAAACAGTTTCTTTAGAAACTATCAGCCTTTATGGGTATGTGAGCCCGTAAGGAAAATGTAAAAGAAAACTTCCCCAAGGGAGATACACCCAGCATCGTCACCTGTCTTGGACAACTTTTACAGTCAAATCTTTAACCCAAAAGTAATATAAGTGACCAGTACCTGTTAAAAAATTGATACAACATGAACTTAACACAGGCTTTTTCTTCCTCAGGTAAGCTTGGCAATAAAATATGCAGCACGGAGTAGACGAATGAATTTAGCAAATCGACTGGATGAGTTGGCCCGCGAGAAAGCAAAACTGGAGGCAGAGGAGGAGTTTGAGGATGATTTCCAACAAATTGATTGGCCTGTAAGGGGGAATAAGACATCTACGTCGAGGATGGGTGGTCATCGTCCCTCCAATACTCTGCGAGAAGTGGAACAGGAGGAAGAAGAGGAGGAAATGGAGGAGACTGGAGGTGATGATGGCATGGATGATGATGATTATGATGATTTTGATGATGATGATGATGAACAGACTTCCAGGAAAGAAGGTGGTGTATCATCATTTGCATTTTTCTCAGCTTGCAACAAACGTAAAAAGAGAAAAAAAAAATACAGCTGAAGTGATTTGCGTTTCACTGCAAGGTGCATACTCCCATCCCAAAACTTTTCTGTAAATCAGACACCTTTTAGGACTGAAATGTGCTGGCGCCTGTGCCAGCCTGGACTATTTTACCATTAAATATTTGATTATCATAATTATGTCAAAGAGAAGACGCAGTGGTTTAATTGGTTCCTCAGGATTGCAAGTTCTGGGTTCAAATTATAAGCGGTTTGATTGTGCAGTGCTCTCTGGTAAGATACTCAGGATAGTAAATGGTCACAGGCAGTCTGTCAGGAAAACATTGCGTGTACGTAGTGCTGAAGTGTGCTTAAACCTGTGATGGACTGACATCCTGTTACTCATCTTTGCTTTATAGTAATTAAAAAAGCACAGAAATTAGCCGTGGCATTCTTTAAAGTTTGTCTCCTACGCAAATTACATAATTTTTTTCATGCTACTTTCACAGAGAGGAAGGGCTTAGCAAGACTGAACAGTCTAGATCTAGGATCAAAACCAATTTCAACTGCAAATTCCAATCCACCTTCGTCACCTCTTCCAAGCTCAAATCCAAGTCAAGGCCGATCTAATCCTTTCAGAATATCTAGTCCTGGAAAAAAGGCGTCTAGTGTGTGTGGAAAGAGTTTTTTTGACAGCGTGGAGGAAGAGAAGAAAGCATCACTGCAAAGGAAAAGCAAGATATGTTAGTATAATGTTTATTTTGCTACAAAAGGTGTTTATATTTTGAGAAGTCTCTCTGCACTACAGAAACAGTGCTGTTATTGAATCTAACCTTTAGTTGTGGGGAGGGGCAACGCTCGAAACATCAGCTATATCAACTCTTTACGGTAGCCAATTCACATTATTATCTTGTTATATCCCCATCAATGCAGCACCACAGTTTCTTTAGATGCTTGCCCCCTTTATTTACTTCAAGTAATGGTTTGTTTAGATTGACAAACACCAGTTGGGTGAGAATTAATCAAAGAGGAATGAAGCTTTTTATAAATAATGATAAAAGTAATGTGGATTATTATAATAGTGTTTGGAAAATTTTTTTGACCCAAGTCACGCAATTCTTTTTTCCATAATTATCTTGTGACGTAGAAACTGCCTTAATATTTTTCAAAGGTGTTTGATCACCACAAGAGGTAAGAATAAGAGAAAAATTAAAGGTTTGTAACCAGAATTTTGGCCTGTTCCATGCATTCATTGGTAAAACAAATTTACTGCAAACTGAGAAGTGAAAAAACGAGAGAGGCTTGGGTTGACTCCACCCAAACCTACATGGTTTTTTTAACTAACTCTGCTGATGTTATCGTGCTGGGCTGGGTTGTACAAAACATGATTAACCTAAGCCGGGGTTATAACGTAAATTTTACTTTAATAGCTCTGGAAAGGGAGTTTTCTTTTGTATTTTTTTCAGTTAGTCTCGAGTCATTGTGAGAAAAGATCCAACAAAGCCTTGGCCCTTTAACGCGCTCTTCTACACAAGAAATTAAAGTCAAGGTTAACTTTAAATCCCAGAATAACTTGAACCCCCTTTCGAACAACCCGGCCCTGTTTACTATTTTGCTCTGTTTAATTAACCCAGCGCACGAAAAAAGCTAACTGAATTAAGGATTTATAGTAGAATTAAGCTATAAATCCTTTCTAAAAAGCGCTTTACTTTACAGCTCCTGATACCAAGCCAGTCCAGAAAAGGAAAAAGGGAAAACAAACCACTCTATTGAAAACACCTCAGGAGAAAGAAAAAGAAACACAGAATAAGAAAACATCTCCAGAAAGGAATGGCCCGCCCTCCAAAAAGTAAGTGCAGTATTTTTTTTTTTAATGCTCCGCTTTTACGTCATTTGACCCATTAGGGTGGTGGAACATACACAATATTTTGTGGCTAAAAGATGGTGGAAGAAAGGTGAAGTAGCAAAATACCTGCACTAGACGATCGCAAATGATTTTTGTGTTTTTTTGCTTTTTTTTTTTTAACCAACGAACCTATAAGCGCTTCAGATTCTTTTGTTGGTGATAATACTCAAATGGTTTTTCTTTTTTTGTGTTATTTTTGTCTTTCGTGCATGCCTTTTCTGATCGACATGATGCTCAGCTAAGGCCGAAGGAGGTCTTTTGAAACTAATAAAATAAGAGTGCAATTATAATTCCCTTTTTTGATTGTCTAGCATTTGATTCGAGTGGACATCTTGCTCGATGGTTGTCAATTGCTCTCGTATCGGCCTGTATTTATTGAGCTTAGTCCTTGGTTTATCGTTTATTAGTAGATTTTCAACCCCGAATATTGCATTTCTAGTGTTTTGATTGGTTTACTCAACTCTGGTTTTCAGTACATATTCCAAGTCACCGAGGTGGAAATGCATTGCGCCAACTGTTGCAGAGCTGAAAAAAGGCTCGGAATATCCAAACATTCAGGATTCTATGAAATTAATTAAAAAAAAAAACTATTCCAGTTGCGCTTGTTGAATACAAGATTGGTTATAGCTAACTCGGGGTTATGCACCTCGTTGGGTATTTACCATCTCATATCTAACACGCGAACATAGAGTAATTGTTAAATACGTGCAGATCTTTTGAAGTTGTGTTGTCGTCTGTTCCGAACCCAGTGGGTACGAGTAAAAATAGGTGGAGAAAAACCTGAATCTACAAAATATTGGTAATTTGACGCCCAAATTTTCTTGTCTAACTTACAAAGAGATGTCTAATAACTTGAGTAGAGGAGTACCAAAAGATCTTGGGTGGTAAAGGGTCATTTTTTTAATTTTGACAGAGTGAATGGTTTCACCCTTTGGTTTGAGGAGAACAAAGAAGGTTTGTCAAATGAAAATCCAGAGCTGACTGGTACCCACCTTGTTAAATCTGCCATGGGACAATGGAAGGCACTTGATGAAGATGAAAAGATGGAATGGAATAATAAAGCAAAGGGAACTGCGCACGAAAAGGAACAAGGAGAAAAGAAGCGCAAAAGAGAAAAGTCAGATGAAGAAAACGAAGACACTTTAAATACAATTAATTTAGCCAAGAAGACAAAAGAATCAGGGGTAACAGTTGCAAATTCCAAACTGGCAGGATTTGCTTATAACAAAAATTAACTGCAGATCTTTTGAATTGTGTTTATTTATAATAGTCATGAAATTTTAGGTCACTCTCCAAGAATTTCATGGAGTTTGCCAATATTCATGTTTTGGATTATGGAATGAACAGAAAGATGGATTAAAATGGTGTAGCATGACAGGAAAACTGAAATAACAAAAGAGTGGATGGAAACAATTGGAAAGGACTTCCATTAAATTCAACTGCATTAAAGAAAACTTCGGGCATTTGCATTTCTAAGACTTTTTCATAATAATTGCATGAAATCTATGGTTTGCTCCTCAAAAGACAGTTGCGACTGATAAAAACAATTTTAAATACCATGTTAGAGGCAGAGAAAGTACCTATAAAACATAACCTATTTGACGCTTTAACTCTGATGAGTGACCAAGAGAGAATTTCTCCTCACAATATCCATACAATATCAAGCAGACAAGTGTTGAGAATAAATAATGGTAATTGAACTGAATTTTGGGCTGAAATCATATGTGTGATTTCAAAATCGAACAAGGGCACAGCACGAGTTTGACTTGAAACCACAAATATGATTTCAGACCAAAATTGCACAGCACAAGTTTGAATTACCACTTTATTACATCCATTTTGAAATCGCCCAAATACAGGACTTGGTCGATTCAAATATTTTACTGATGCAGTACTGAGCCGGTTTTTAAATAAAAAGAGGAACTGGAAACGCTTTTACATCTTATTTTGTATGCAAAATAGAAAGACTTTGACATCATGTGTCAAAAACTCAGTCGAGCATAAAATGATTTGATTTAGAGCAAAAACTGGTGTGATTTGGGAATAAATCTCACCAATTAGAGCCATTCAGATAACAGAGACCACCAGTGATTTCAAACTGTATGTAATAAAGACATCTATTTGAGGAATATTACTTGATCTAATACCAAGTTCTCCCAACTATCATCATAAGAATTGTACAACAGACAGTAAGGAGAATTAATAATGACATCTTGGGAGCGAAAGGGTTTGCGCTTCAACTCCCAAGATCTGATTTTGAAATCTCCCCTCCAGCTGCTACACATTTGTAAATAGGTTATGAGAATTTAGTTCAATCAAGGTAACAACTTCAACCTGATAAGTTTGAGTATTCTCATTACCTGTTTGCTGGATAATGTAGGGATATTAAAGGGAGAAGTTACATGTTAATCACTTCTGGGAGTTTAAGGGTTATGGGGGACTCTTGCACAGATATTCCAATCTGCATTAACAATGGCTTTTGATGTATATCTCTTATAATTAAGAAAACATGTAAAATTCACATGGAGAACTCAAGAGCAGTTTAGCAGGCCCCAGTCTGAACACATTCTGAAAGCAAAAAAATAGGTCAGTCCATGGAGAACGTTTGCATCGTTACACATGAAACTGCCAAAAGTACTCCATATTTAGTATAAAATATTTGTTCTTTGTTGTAAGGTTTGGTGCAGCCATACAGTGGTTTTTAAAATGTATTTTCAATACTTAAGTACTGGTACTTGTTGAAATTGTAACTATGATTTACTTATTAAACTGTGAAAGCAATATACTAACATCTCCATATTCTATTTGAGCAGCATGCAAGTTGGAGCAGTTGCTCTTGATTGCAGACAGGAATGGTTTATTTCCACAGTGCATAACTGGATTGCATGCAGAAGTGAGCCTTCAAAGCAGTTTAGCTGGCTCCAGTCTGAACATATTTCTGAAAATTACAAGTCAGATCATTGAGAACTTGTGCATGGTGTTACTCATGAAACTGCCAAAATTACTTTGAAATATTAAATTTATTTTATGGTAAATAATTGCATACAGCAATGGTTTATTTCCACAGTGCATTACTGAATTGCATTCAAAAGTAAATGTTCAATTGCATTTCCAAAATGCAGCCTCAAACATGCTTCTAAATTTTTCCCGAATCGCATTACTGAGATAATTATTCAATTCTCAACTACATACCCTGGACACATTCTTAGAATGCATCACCAAAGTAGTTTATCCCTTTTTCTATGGATATTCCATTAATAATTCTATTAAGAATTAATAATTTCATTAATAATTCCATTAATAATTCTCCCTATTGTCTGTAATAAAAATTAATTCTTATGATGTCCTTTTAGAGAACTTGGTATCTGATCAAGTAAAATTCCACTGGTTGATATTTTTCTTAATTCTCATCACTTGCCTTCTTGTCTTGCTATTGTAATGGTTTTGCAAGGCTCGACACAAACTTATCAACTTACTAGCCAAGTGGCTGGTGACATCTTAGATGTTATGACAATGTCAGTTTGTTTACCAGCCAAATTGGCCAGTGGAAACCGAAAACCACTAGCCAAAACTTATTAGTCTGTGGCTAGTGGGTACCGTTAGTGTCGAGCCCTGTATTGTAAGGAGAAGTTCTGTTTTGGTCACTCATGGGAGTGGAAGTGTTAAAATTCAGGCTAAACCCCAAGAGTGGCTAGCTTCTAATTATTCTTGACAGCATCATCCCTGAACCAAACATTAAAGTCCTGAGAATAGAGGTGTAACGGCTGCCATGCCTTTGCCACCGAATACTGATTCACTATAAGCTTGTTTCGTGTAAACGTGTTAAACCACAATAATGACGCTACTGTTAGTCCATTAGGGACAGGATCTTTAAGTTCCACCCAGAACCACATCGTAGTTAGTTGTCTTGCTGTGGGCTAACGATAAGACATGTTTATTGCAAACGCGTCTTTTCCCCACCTTATCTTGAAGTTTGTTTTGGCTAAATTCTTACAAGCTGGACTGTTATATTACGATAAGTACTTGGATACCTTGGCTACATTAAATAAAATGATTCAAGGCTTATATCCTTGCTTCATAGTGTCTTCATTTACAAAACTCATGGTTGTCATTGAAATTTTGCTTCACTTGTGTAAGCCACTACAGGAGGAAATGGCTGCCAACTCAAGAAGCTATTGATTTTTAAAAAAATTTTCCAAGTCAGTTCCACATGAAATGTATGGAGAACAGTATTGACAAAAGAAATACGGCTGTTTGGGTGTAGAGGTCAAGATAACATTCCACAATTGCAAACTCTCTTTATATAGAGCAAGATAATTTACAAGTCGACCAAAAGTTGATTTCTTGTTTTCAACCGCACTGAGTTTACAACATCCACAGTGATTTCTTCACATCCTTTCAAAATGAGTTTTCTCAACTTTGGCCATTCACTTCTTTTTTGCTTAATGTACCATTCCACAAGTAATGCATCTGTGATTTTTGAACATTCTGTCAGATCAAGGGTTCTAAGAACAGGAAACATCACAGCCAGGTCTCGCAAGTCATTATTGGTAATGGATGGAATTTTCCCAAGGCCCAAGTAGCAGAGAGTCCTTCCTACTTTTTGGGACAGAAAGTGTAGCTCAGCTCTGATTCCTAATTGGCAGCTGTTTAGTTCCAACCACTCCAAAGATTGAAAATTGGGAAAATCTTGTAGAGAGTGCTCGTCTGGCATAACTGCACCAGTCAAATTCAGCTTCTTCAAAGCAGGGAATTTATGAAGCTGTGTAAACATAATGGGAATTCTAGGTCGAGATGTTACATCCAAGCATGTAAGGTTTCTGTTTGGTACCTTGTTATTTGGAAATGCCCAATCAAGAATGAGGTTGGTTACTGGTGTCGGTACAGGTAATCTTCTACATGTGATTCCTTTATTTCTGTAACACTCCCCACCTACATGTAATCCAAGCGTCTCCAAGCTAGAAAAAGCACCTTGTTTAACTTTATGTAATTCTCCTAAAACAGACAAAAATAAAGTCAGCATTTAAAAAAACTGCAGTCCATGTATGCAAACCTAAAAAAAAAAAAAAAGAAAATTGACAATTTACCGACATTACCTTCATCTGCAAGCCTTTGAAACCTCAAACACAACCTCTGCAGGTGTGGATTACTGCTGATAAGTGCTTTGAGCCAAGACAACTCTATTGCACCTTGACATTGAAGTGAGATGCTTGTCAACTTCCCATTGCTGCATAATGCCTTCTGCACATCAAATGCCAGTGGATTTGTGCATGTTATCTAACAGGGAAAAAACAATGACAAATTTTTTTCATAGTAATGCATTGCAAATAGAAACATAAATTTTTAGTTATTTTATCACCAACAAGTGCCTCTAACCAGACATAGTTTGAAGCTGCTCTGGTTTAAAGATTTAATGAATGTAACTAAAATTACAATTCATCTACCCAATGTTTTTACACTTCTGCCCAGTGCCTTCATCAGGGGTGATCCGATTGTTGCAATAAGGGGCCCTTTCATATTGTGACCGAGGCAGGTTCTGACATTGTTATTTGAAGAACAAGACAGACTTATAGCCACAATAAAATTTATTCATACAGGAAAGTACAAAAGAAATAATACTGATAAAAAGAAAGGGTGATTGCAAGCAAATCCTCAGTAAAATAGGTCACCAACTTGAGGTTACATGTACTGGAGTTACTTTTTTTGTGACCAAGAGGTTCTGAGCTTGTAAGTGCTGGTCTTGACACTCTGAACTACTGAGTTAAACTAACTAACTGTACTTCTTTTATAAGGAATCAAACAATAGCAGGCAATTCTCTTTAACAAATGGTAAACACCACAGCGTACACTATTGAGTTATGGATGCACGCGGGAGGTTGCTAAGCACAAAAGAAGCGTAAGAGTTGCTCGAGGCGATAGCCGAGAGCGACTCTAGCTTCTTGAGTGCTTAGCAAACCTCCCAAGTGCATCCATAACTCAATAGTGTACGCTGTGGTGTTTACAATTGGTTTTATAACATAACATTGATACATTGTAGTTAAAGAGTTCCCTTTTACTTAACAAATCTTAAGCGACCAGAAAAAACAAGCGTGCGCGGAAAAATAATCTTTGTATTTGCTCACGTGAGCAGCGTACACCCATGGGCAAATGGGGGACGCTAAATTGACCAATCAGAGCACGCGCTTTACTTTGGTTATGTTATAAAAGATTTTGGAAGTTAGGTGTGATCATTCTAAAGGAAATTTAGCTACAAATCCTGTGTTTATGATAACTTGATTATCATAGGAAATAGCATCTGAAGATGTAATTCTAAAATTATAGCAAAAAATATTGCCATGTCATGCACAATTGTGAGCCTGGTCACAATATACTTACTAATTTGCTGCCTGTTTTTTTTGACAAGGTATAAATAGGCATAAATAAGATGGGTGTTCTTTTGCAAATGAGAATTGCATGTCTGTTGGAGCACACATGCCTAACTAACCATAAAATTGGGTGGGATAATTCTAAAATTATCACTTTAATTGCTGCTATCACCTATCAACTCTGCCCTTGCTCCTTTCAATTGTGATTATGGTGGCTTACTATCTGAGCCTATTTACACCTTGTTAGGAGAAACAGCGGCCAATTACTGAGTGTAAAAAAGTGCCTCATGTCAATGATCAGATCACCCCTGATAAAGGCACTAGATGAGAGTGTCAAAACCTTGGGTTGATGAATTGTAATTTTGGTCACATTCATTAAATCATTGAGCCAGAGTGGCATCAAACCATGTCTGACTGTCCAACTGGTTGCTGCGTGAACTTAAATATAGCACCTCTGATTTTTTTGGTATGTTTCCTTCATGTACCTGTAGTCCAGTAATACCAGCTATGACAAATGAATGGCCAACTGTTATTGATTGTATCACTAACAAGGTCCTTAACATAGGAATTCTCACCCAATATTGATCCCTGGTTCGACTAGCTTCTCTACATTAAAGAAATACTGATTCTTTTATTAAATCAGTCTGAAATCCTCAACTCAAGCATTACAATACTCATAAAGGCTTGATTACATTGCTTGCAGTGCCCTTGGGTAAGATGAAGCGAATCCTCTGTTCTGATTGGCTACCCAAGCGGGCAAGATGGGCCCATCTTGCCTGCTCGAGATTGCCCACATTGATCCCACACATGAAAAAATTAGAGTTACAACTATGTTTGTAATTCTTGGACAATTTCGGTGATGGAAATGCAAAAAGTGGCAGAAGAAAGTCAAAACAAAGAAAACAGAATCAACTCTTATAGGTTCATTGTCCTACAGACACAGCTGGCTTTCTTGCCGGGCTCTTGAAGTAAACAAGTCATTTCTAATCAGTCTTTTTTAAGTGAAATATTTTTGCGATATAATAAATCCTTTATTAACCAAGCTTGTTCTGTCAAGAAAGCTGAATATTAGCCTCGTTCTTTTTTTGCATTTTTAGGGACCTTGACTTCATCTCGGTCCATACAAATGCGAAAAAGGACCTTGGTCAATATCCAGCCATCTTGACCTCACGCTTGGTTAATAACCCATATAATTATACAAGCATAGCATATTGACCTCCAAGGTGTCTATTGTTTTCTTTTAACGTACAGTTAAAATAATCTGTGTAAAACAGAGTATGGGTTGTACGAACACCTTGCCCATCGCGCACCACCGATGGCACCAACTTTTAATGATAAAAATAAATAATCATTCACAATAAACCACACTGAACAACAAATTACGCTTACATCATTCAAATCCACGCTGTCAAAGCTCACTTCTTCAACTGAGGGCAGGCTTTTGAACACTTCCTCAAAGGTCGGTTTTAACTTGCCATATACATCCACTCTTCCAAATGCAAGCTTCCTAGGCTTAAGTTTTCCCTCGGAAGCAGCTTTATAAAGAGCTTCGAGGGAACGCTGTGACGTCAATGGAAAGCTAAGTTCCTCAAGACGAGGACATAGAAATGGCTGTATTATTTCGGGAGGGTTTAAAAAAGGAGCGTTTAAAAAAGAGATTTCCAGGCTTCTAATACCTCTTACTTTAAGGATCTCTATAGCATCGGAGGCAATCTGTTTACCGCGAAGTCGTATCTTTAATTTGACATCTTTCCAAAGATGAGGAGAGTTGAAGAATTCCCGGAAATGTCGGTTCAGTTGAGCCATGATTTCCATTTCGCGCGGACTGAGGTATTGCCCGAGACAATAAACCACATCGTCTGGCAGAGAGCTCAGTGGAAAACAAAAATTCTGTGAACGTACAAGAGAATTCATGCCAGTTTAGGCGTTTGAGCTCCCCAAATTACCTGAACAGTTCTCAGTCGCCCGCTGCAGCAAACTGGGAATGAGGGGAGAGACACTTCGCGACTTCTTATACAATTTGGTTGTTAGGTCACTAGTAAACAAACATGGCGGCTGGAAAAACAGTAAGCACGCTCTGTTCAGTGGACTTTGAGGTTTTTGGGAAGGTACAAGGTACGTTAGGTTAATAGATTCAATGGATATAACGTATGGCTTAATAATGAAGGAACACCTCAGCTTTATTCTTCAACGAAATATCAAAAATGATCTCCTAAGCTTACCAACGAAATCGGCTAAACTTCATAATCAGAATACTGAGGCCACTTAATATGCATCTTTAAATAGCTGTTCCCGCAGTCCCGTGAAATCAGGTGTAGATTTTATATTTATTCAGGGGAAGTATCATATCTGTCGCTATTTAATTACGCAGCTAGTTCCTTCTAGTCCCTCACCATCTCTTTGTTAATGTTCCCTAAATCGCCAAGGTTACGGTTACTAGGTTGCTTAGTGATGCGATAAAATCGAAGGTTTTATAAACATTATACAATGGACTGACTCACTCCTATATTTCATTTAACTGGACCGTTCTGATGCACTTTTTTTTGTTTTGCTTTGCTTTCTTTTTAGGTGTATTTTTTCGAAAGGTAATATTTCTTTTTGATATAATCCAACAACTTTCTGTAAGTTACGGTAATACATTTTGTAATGGTAACCGCTGCCTGGTTAGCTCGAGTGGTAGAGCGCCGGACTGCTGTGCGGGAGGTCGAGGGTTTGAGCCCCAGACCAGACCAACACTCAGGGTCTTAAAATAAACTGAGGAGAATGTGCTGCCTTTGCTATGATATCTGCAAATGGCTAGACATTCTAGTCTTCTCTGATAAGGCTGAAAAATCGTAGGCCCCATCTCCTGCATCTTCTCTGTACTGGTTAGCAGGGGACATTACAGAACCCACACACTTATTGCAAAGAGTAGGGAACGTAGCTCCTGGTGTTATGGTCTGGCTTGTTTACTGAAATTGGTGGCATCTGTTAAAATTAGTCTTCACAAAAAAATTGTAAACTGCTGCAAGCAGTCTGTTAAATCCCCTACAAACTATTGTTAAGTGCTTAGAGACTTGCAATAAGCGCTATATAAATTTTAATTTATCATCATCATCATCATCACCATCATCATTATTATTATTATTATCATTATTATTATTATTATCATTATTATTATTATTATTATTATTATCATTATTATTATTATTAATGGAAGTAATTCTAAAGGTATCTTGTAAGTCATAGTACTAGCTGTTGACTGACTATTGATTGTCTGTCAGGTAATCAAGCAGAGTTCATTTGAAGTTACACAATCAGTAAAGCAGCTCTTGATTATTGGAAATAAATTCTCCTTATAAATACCATAGATGATTACAGAGAACAGTAGGGAGAACTTGCATACTGATGTCAGGGTGTAAAAAGGTTAAAAGAAACCTGTCAGCAATTCTAACTAGTTTATTCTTGTTGTCTTTAGTACACCAGGATTAATGCCACCAAGCACGAACTGGTTGGCTGGGTAATGAACACGCCACACAACACAGTGGTAGGACAGCTTCAGGGAGAGACTGCAAATGTTCGTCTCATGTAAGGAATGCATCAATTTAGATTTCTGACCTAATATGAAACTCAGGAAAGGATGATTTCTTTTGAAAAGCTGGGTTTTTTTTTTTTACAAGCAACAGAGTGAAGTCAAACGCCTAAACAGAAGCATGTACATCAAATAATAGGATCTTGTGAAGATCAAACCAACCAGATTGGAATCAAAATCTCAATAGCATGTACAAAACCATGGCATAAGATCCGCTCTGAATACTGGATTGTCAGTGTCGTAAGCCCTTGAATGGCCTGAGAACCCATGATGTGATTAGTTTATTCTTCCAGTTCTCCTTGCAACTCCCACAATCTAGTTTTCATTGTATCATAAGCATTGGGGTTACGAGTGAAATCAGAAAAAATGAAACATTTCTGATTCGTCTGACACTGATTTTGTAGAGCTTATGACTCCACTTATGGCTAAGATGTTTGATTTTCATAAGGTTGGAAGTGCTCTCATGACTCTCACTACATGTAAGACTCACATACCTCCGCCCAGTTAGCCCAGTGGATAGTGCGCTGGACTGTTGTGCAGGAGGTCGAGGGTTCGAGCCCCGGCCGGACCAACACTCAAGGTCTTAAAATAATTGAGAAGAATTTACTACCTTTCTATAACATCAAGAAATGGTTAGATATTCTAGTCTTCTCGGATAGCTAGGGATGAATAAATGGAGGTCCCGTCTCTTGCAGGGTTGGGTTTACGAGACGTTAATTTCCCACACACGAGATTACTGTGGGATGGATGTCATCGCCTGGGGTGGGATGGTGGGTTTGTGTTGTGAAGGCCGTAAGTTAGATAACTCATTGGGCTAATTATGTCACTTTTGTTAAATATAGAATAATTATTGTATTGTATTGTACACTTCCACTCTGTCACATGGGCATACCAGCCTGAACCTTTTTACTCCCAAGATCTCATTAGTAATTCTCTCTACTCTCTGCCATACAATTCTTGTGATGTTAGTTCAGAGATTTCAGTATTAGATCAAGTATGATCCCCTTACTTATAACTTCCTTAATATTCATATCACTTGTCTTCTTGAAATTGTCTTGATACTGTAAGAGGGAGATATTCTTTCTTGGCCACTTATGGGAGTTAACAGTTAAGAGGTAAATATTGGGTAGTGATCAATCAAAATAAAGTTCCCTCTGTAAGGCTCAGCACATGGGTCAGCACAAACCTCAAAACCACCAATGAATCACCTTAACCCTTTTACTCACAAAAGTGACCAAGACAGAATTTCTCCTCACTATACAGCGATGTAGCTAAAGATTTTAACAGGCAGGAATCTAGCAATGATAGGTGGGTATTTGGGTTGAAGGCCCACTCTAGCATACCTTTGGCACGCTATACCTGGGGGGGATCTGGGGGCATGCCCCCACAGGAAATTTTGAAAATGCATGCACTGGGAGATGCATTTTCCTTGATTTTGGGGGCAAAATCAAGGGCATTCAGGACAGAAATGATTTGAGGATTAATAAAGACAATAGGCAAATAGTTTCATAGTTTCAAGACTCAGCATTTGTTTCAATTTTTCTCATAAATAATTTAAAGAACTGGTGAACGATAAAAGTTAGATCTGACTCTGCATGATTTCTCTGTTTTTGCATTCTAATAATAATAATAGTGTCTTTATTGTTCAAAAGATAAAATTACATATCTTATGTTACATTAAAAAAAGGATGTTGTTACGAGGATCGAATTATTTTTACTGAATCTCTCACGCAATCCCAGACTTTTCTAGAATTATCTATAATCTGTAATATTCCAGAAACTTCTTTCATGTGACTCAGCAGTTTCCAAAAATAGTACAACTTGTAATACGCTATAAATAGTAATAGAACATTCTAGATAACTAAAGTAAATGTATAAAAGCTGGCTTGTGAGAAGTACAAAAGAGATTTGCCCGAGGGCTTACCCTCGTGGCTTGCTGACTGAACTTTTGGAAGCTATGATATGACGAGGCTATGACCTTTTGACCTTGCGATATCCGGAGAGAAGAAAAAGAAGATAGCTGAGAAGGGAAGAAGATAAAGAATACAGAGTTCACTATGAAGTCCTCCGGAAGAATTTGTGTACACGGAAAGAAAGTCATGAATCAGGAAAGCCAAGGGCTGTGGTCTTCAGTCGGCAGAAGTTGGAATTGGAGGTTGATCAAGACGATGAACACTTCTACGGCATAAAGGATTGTAAGCCTGCTTTATGAACTGCTTAACTTAATCTCTAACCTAAGTAAATTAGACAATGCAAAACTAATTAAATAATAGTTAAAATGGGTAACTGCTTGTTGTTGCATTTTTGTTGCGTGCCATATATCGTACTCGGGAGTCTATTTTCATATATGCTCTGTTAGTGGACATTTGTTGGTCATTCGTGCACGTAACAATGTAATTAAGCTCAGGTGTATCTCTAAATAAGATAAGTATATATGTAGAAACAAATACGAAAATCGAATACAAGAAGTACACTTTTACAAAGCTACATTGTACTTAAAAACAATTTTATTAAAAAATGTATTCTTAAAATGGTTCGCGGGAATGGCGGGCATTACAGGGGATTTATTTCTTAAATTAGATCTTGTAATCTTGGTTTCAGGGAAGTAGGCTCTAAGAGGGTGGCTAAGGATAGTAGAAACCTGCTACAAATTTTGTGATCTTGCAGATTAAGTAAGTCACCTATCACTAATTTCTTAGATATGTAATTACGTTTAAAACAACGATCTAAAAACTGCTGGGCTATAGTTAGCTCTGACTCAGGGGCCCCATACACAGATAGAGCATAAGTAATATTAGGTAGGACAATGGAATTGGGTAATTTTCCGGGCTTCCGGCTATTATCCACAACTCTGTTATATCAGTACAATAATAGTTATAAAGATTTAGCCAAGCCTAAAAGCGGAGCTCCCAAGTTCGTAATATTAATGATAACATAAAAGATGTGCATTTGTCAAGACTCGCCTGAGACACCCCTCTCTTCATTTTGATAGTCTCCCCTACCCTACCCGTGCAATCTGAAGGCATGTATGTAAGTATGTACGTCCGTAGGCTCGGTCAGTCACGTGACAACCAAACAAAAAGAGGTTGACCATATTCCATGGGTATGTGGCTCTGCCCCAAGCGTGCAAAGTGCACATGGGAGCCCCGCTGTCAAGCAGACAAGTGAAGGGACTAAAGAAAAATATCAGTAAGGGGATAATTAGTTGATTCAACACCAATTTCTTCAAACTAATATCACAAGAATTGTATGGCAGACAGTAAGGAGAATTACTATTCAGATCTCAGGAGTGAAAGGGTTGACGGTGGTTTATTTTTAAAAACAATTGAATAGATTTGGTTTTCACAATTTTCGGAGTTTTAATTCACATCATGTAATTTGCCAAACCAGATATCGTAACACTACCATGAAAGTATTAATGACCCTATGGGGGAAGGGGAAAGGGTGTATTGATTTCAATGCTTGAAAGGATGTTAAAGACCCTCAAATCATTTCTCTTTCCATCCTAGGAGAAAGTGGTTAAGAGTAACAGGAAGCCCAAAATCAAGAATTGACAGATGTGAATTCAAGAATGAAAAAACCATCAGTGTGCTGGAATTCAGTGAATTCACCATCAAGAAATGAAGTCATACACAGAAGGTTTTCTTTAAATCAGTTTGTGTATGACTTGGTCAGAGAAGCTGCTTTGTAGACTTCAAGTTAACCTCGTGTTGGGACACTTAGCTAAAAACCACCAACTCAAATTGTTTACAAAAATCTGGTTTATAAAGAGGCGGTGAGAACAATTTTCTGATACTAGATTAGCACATTTTTCCTACCAAGAGGAGACTTCCAGAAAACAGTAGAATACTTATTCTTTGAAATTTTGGTCTAAAAAGTGCAAAATGTCGGCAGTTTTTCGTGCAAAAGGTTTCTTACTAATTCTTATTGTTTGAAGATTGACAGCATCAAACAGATGATTGAAATAAAGGAACTGTATTTTTTCAACAATGGTCAATGGTCTTTCAGTTAGTGACCGAAGTCAACTGGAACCATTAAAATAAAAATAGGAGTCCCATGAGCTTTTTGATTGGGGGCAGACAAGCAAATCTTTTCACCTAAAATTATAGTGAGGAGGGATATTTTTTTTCAGCTGCCATAGATAATTGGACAATTTGTTATGAAATAAATTTCATTTGACCTGGGAGAATTGAATACAGCCAGCATCCCCCTAGCAAGCTGTAATTTGAGCAATGACAGAAAAGAAGACCTGAAAAATTAAAAAGTTGAGGTTCTGATGGTATTTCAACCTGTGCCTCACAAAAAAAAAAAAAATGGAGGTCTTCACCAACTGAGCTACTAAGCCCCAAGTTGGGAGCACAGCTCATTTTAGGTTATATTTTCTCATACCCAAATCTCATTTAACAGCTAGTGCTCTCTAATGAGGTTAAGTTTCTTTCATCAACATTTATTGATGATTTTTCAATAATAATGATTAATACAAATACAAATTCAAAATAAAATCAATATTTTTAGTAATTAACTTTAAGTTGCATTTCTCATAAATGTGCTCTTTTTGCTTCTTTTAAAATAAAGGTAACAAATTCTTCTACAAATGAATTCAAAGATAATGTTTTCAATATTACATAACAAAGCAAACATTTTAGCATTCAACAGGCCTTAAGAAAGGTCAGCAACATTTGTATAATAAGAAAAATTTTGAAAACCTGAATAACCTACATTGGATCAGTATACACTCAATTGCAAAAATGTCGAAACCCAAAAAGCACAATCTAAGAAGGAGGAAACCTAATGTTCTCATTGATTTCCAATCACTGATTTGCTTTCTCACTGATCATAAAAAACCCTTTATTATAAACCTTTTCTTCCAGAAAAGTGTGGATGGCTACCATCATTCATCATGAACTGATGGTGTTTTCACGCTTTTTTAAGTGCCAACATTTTTTCAATGGAATGTACTTTTGAAATATCATCAGAGGTATTCCTTGATCCATTTCCTGGCTGATTTGATGTCCTCGTCAACTTTTTCTTTTGTTTCTTTGTCAAAAGATGGAAGAGAGCTGTAGGGAAAAGTAAATATATATTATTAGGGTTATGTTATGTATTGCAATGACTTAACTATTGGTAGATGGTAGAGAAAGGCACTGTCCTCTTAGCTTTATTATATTCTAATAAGAATAGATTCCATGTTTACCGTGGGTCTGTTTCTGTTGCAGAAAGTACATCAGTGACACACTCAACTGTGCTTTCAATTGTGTATCACTTATTCAATTCAAGTTTGTTTATTTCACACTATAAATGACATTTACAGGGTTTATATTAAATATGAGAAAGAGAAAAAAAAATAAAGGTAATATTTGGCCATAAAAATAAGGTTGAGATGTGCATGGTGTCCAAGGTAGCAAGAACTTTCTAGTAAGGACACTGTAATGGTCATATAAATAGCAGCCTATACTAAAAATAAATCAGCAGTATTAAAGCAAAATAACAAAGTTTGATTAAACAAAAGTTGGCGTTTCCATTCTTTCTTAAAGGTATTGTAAGGCATATATTTAAGATTAGTGGGTATGGTTTCCCAGATCTTTGAACCAGAGAATTTGAATGATGATTTTCCCATTTTAGTGGATACTCTTGGTCTAAAAGAATTGAAATTACTAGTAAACTACTTGTTTGCTCTCACCACATTTTGACATCATCCATGATCTTTTACTTATAACATACTGAACATAGTATGCATTGTCTGATTGGTAAATTCAGTTTCCAAGCAGATGCTTTATCAGGTTATAGAATGCATTATTAGATTATAGAGCCTGGATATAACTAGTTACACCATAAAAGAAATTGAGCACATTTTTCCAAGCTCTTATGAGAACACTTGGAAAGCTTGCCTTTGTCTCATGATTTGAAAGCTTTCCTCATAATCTCCCAACATTGCGCGTGGCTTTATCACAGTATAGAGCCTGGAAAAATTTGTTGTATTGCTGAAACAGATGCATGGCAATATGGAATCTATCAAAATGCATTAATAGTCAGCCTCTCTTATTACTTCTCACACACACAAGTATAGTCCTGTAATTTAGCAAGAACATAAGTGATGCAGTGTGCAATGCCTTGTGCAGGGCTCGAAATTAACGGTAACCCATTAACTGATGGTTAGTAATTTTCAACGTTTGGTTACTAAATATTTGTCCAACTAACCCGACATGGTTAGTAAAATTTTCTAACACATTTAAACATTGGTAGACCTCAGGACAAAGAGCACGTTGACCCTACTCTCGGAGGAATACTTAGAATACTCAAGTTGTTAAGTCAACTTAACTCTTTTTAGAGAATGTGATGTAAATGAACTGTTCTTGACTAATCATGGGAAACGAGAGGGAAATAAAATAGGTGCATACTTGTCAACGTTTTTGAGGTCACCATGCAATTTCAGCTACTCTTTAATTTGTCCTAGTCATTATTATCAAAATGTTCAATATTTGAGATATTGTAACTTGTGAGCTTGGATACCAAACTTTATAATTGGTTAGTAAAAAAGATGTCTACTAGACCAAAGGGTTAGTGATCCAAAAATTAAATTCGAGCCCTGTTGTGTGCCAGTTTTTAGTTCTTCCCATAAGGGTTATTACTCAACAAAAGGCCTTTGAACCTGAGGCCACTTGACTAGAACTAATTTTTTTGGGCACAAATTTAATAGGCCAATGGAACTTACTTATAAATAGCTGAACTCACAACGTCAACAACACCCCCTGTGATAAAAACAGAAAAAAAATGAATCATTGTCTTGTACAACATATTTCTAACAAATGTTCTTGATGCAAGTGTTTAAATGCAAGGCTTTGCTCTAATAAAAAGTGAAGGGAACCCACTGCTCTGAAACTTTGAAATAAAGGGTGCCCAGCGCATGCTTTTATATGAAAAAACTAAAATTCCCAAGTTTCCCAAGAACAAAAGTAAGGTGCCAGGGGCTAGACCACAGTGCTGAAATGTAACAAAATGAATAATACCTCTTTGTTTTGACAAACTGAGACCACTTGGTACTTAAAGCTATAACTTGTCTCAGGGTTTGCAGAGGCTGAATCTTTGAGCAAAAATTGTCATTCTTTTTTGTGTAAATGTACTCAGAATTTTGCTGGCAACTGTCAACTTTTTCGTTTTATATTAAGCATTTCCATTTATTCAATCTATGTTTTAAATACTATTCTTTTGAAACTGAAAATGTTGTAGTTTGAAGGGTATAAAATTGTGACAGTGTACAAGAACTTAATTTAACTCATTTTCATAAAATTATTGTAAGTACTTGAGGCCTGCCATCCAGCAAGGATAAAAGTAAATAATAAAAAAAACCCATTATGCTTTATTAATAGGATTTATTATCTAATTGATTCTCTGAACTAACCTGGAGTACAAACGGTATCACAAACACTGCAAAGGCTGCAATATTTGCAGTACTGTAAATGCAAACACAAAGACAAACAAATCAATTGATTAAAAAAATGAGAATAAAGCTGTTAATTATACATACTATGATTTTAAAAAATATTCCTTGTTTGAAATTTAGTATGATGCTTTCTAGTAACATGTGAACTATTAATGAAAGTGGTTAATCTGAAAGGCAATAATTATTATTTTTACTCAGCTAAAAAACCCTGCTAAGGATGATCTACTAATAAAAAAACTTTCACATACCTTGCACAAATGACAATTTGGTTTTTTCTTGCTTTTTTCACAAGGACAATCCTTGTCACATAATTCACAAAACTACGAGGAAAACAGATGATTTGTCACACTTAATACATGAACAGTATAAGCAAATTTAATGTGCCCATTGAAAAAGGGAAATTCAAATAGTGTACACTTTAAGATCTGGTTAAAGCATGAAATCTTTACCAGAGATTTTCTATTTGCCTGCTATGAAAGAGACTGGAGCCCAGTTGTTCAAAGGGCAACTAGCGCTAACCAAAAGTGAAATTTTCATCCAAGTTTCTTCCTTCCCTTGTTCAAAAGCCTTTTTGGGATAATTTTCTCAGTTTTTGTTGGATCATCAAATTGTAGAGTAAAAAGAACTAAAGTGAATCGTCTTCTAAAGCTCTCAGATCTGAAATCAGATTTTCACATTAACCCTGAGTTATCCAAACCCAGCTTTGAACAACCTGTTCCAGTTAGCAAAGCTTGAACAAATCTAGTATTGTACCTCTCAGTTGGTATGTGCGCTATGATTGGTCAATTTAGCATACTGTACTTCACTGTATATGGCCCCTACGCTTTAGGCATTAATCCAAGCAGAAAAAACTAGGCCTTTATAACTGACAGCATGAAACCTGAACTCAGTTAGGAAGAAGTATTTATTTCAGATAAGGACAGGTAGTATCTTCCATGACCATTATTGCTTTCAAATTGTCAATTATTTGCGCACACATGAATAATTCATTTTGAATGAACTGAAGACCAATACTCCCGGAAACATCATGAGACCAAAATAGACAAAACAGGGTTGTAAAACTCACAAACCCAGCTAATTCTTGCCGTTTGTTTTAATGTTGTAACTAATTTTCTGATGAAGTCTAGAAAGTCAGTTTGTAGTATAATAATTTGATCAAGTTAGAGCGGGGGTGATACGGAAACAAGAATGTCCTCAAAGACAAAGACTACATACTTTAAGAATTAATTGCATTGCTTATTCCAAATCCTATTTCAAGATCGTTTGTAAAGGAGTACTATGCGGAATTTGATTGATTCATACTTCACTATAATCTCGAGATCAAAGTCCGCGTGGTGCACACCAAACAGAAATTCCGTGCGCGAAAATTTCTACCATTCTTCAACATACAGAACCAAGCATAGAGTTTAACTAGAATACCTACCTTGCAATAGGTGCAATAGTTACATAGAGATCCCAGTGCATAGGTCTTGTCTTCTTCTGAAGAGTTTTCTGCTGAATCCGTTGGAGGTTCTGCGTTGACCTTTTCCGATCGCGCGTCGTTAGCGCTTGACTTGGCTTCCGACTCTTGCGACAGTTTCGGCTCTTGCATTGGTTCCTCTACAGCCTCTTCATCACCGATAGCGACATGTATAGTCATTAGGAGGCTCAAGAAGCCCATTACAGAAAGCAACTTCATTTTCACTCTCCTCGAAACCGAAAGATGTCCAGCCGCAGTCAGCTTGTCACTCTTCAATTGCACTTAGCGAAATTTGTCAAACTACAACTGCTGCTTTTCAGGAACGGCGGCTCATTTATAGTAGGAGAGCCCTCGGGACTCCTCGACACTTTATATCCACCGGTTTCGGGACTCTTCTAAGTGCCCCCCTTACAAATATAGAAGCGGAAAAAACGTTTTTCTTATGAATGAAGGACTTTGCCGGTAGTGTACCACTGAGTGAACATGGCCCAAATAATTGTTGTACTTCTTTAACAGAATCAATTTTAAGAGGAGGGAGTGTGCAATTGTAATCTTGGAACGGAAGTCGCACTTATTAGCCTTCATTTGAATGTCGTGTATTAAACGAACTAAACACGCGAATTTGGCTGTAAATTTTTTTTTAATAATGAAGCGTTTGTAAAGAACTGTTAATTCATAACACCTTTTATTGAGAAATGAATCAAGTTTTACGACACCGGAAGTGCTTCAAACTGTTATTCATTAACAACAGAACTTGACCCTTAATTAAGGATATCTGAGGCATTTGATGGCTAACATAGTCATTCGCTTGCGGTTGACGGTGAAAATATTGCGTTTTTGGCGGTTGACCGTGTTTTCCCGCCATTTTTTCACGTTTGCCGGTCGCGCTTTGACGTTTCCACGTAAAAGTGACCTGTTTCGCGTTTGCCGTGCATGGAAGATTTTCTCTCCTTTTTCTCTCACAGAGTAGAAGTTAATGGCCATGGAAAAGGTAACCCAAAAAAATCCTTGTAAGTCATACAAGGGTAGCCTGTGTACAGCCGCCCCTCCCCTAGAGCGAGCTCCAGGGGGCGGGAAGATGAGAGACTCTGGGAACGAGGTTGCCTTGAGCTCAGGCTCTTTTACTGGGTGCGCTCAATCAAAAACACTAACTACGATTATGATGAGTGGGACTAAGGAGAGGGAAGAACGACAGCTCTTCTTTCTGAAAACCCTGTTGATTTACTTTCCAGCCTCTTTCATTTGTCTCCCCTAACTGAGAATCTTACTTGGGCAACTGTTACACAACTATGGCCTTCTTCCTTGCATAAGCGATTTTTTTTTTTTACGCAACTCGCCGCAACATCTACGAGTTTTCTGCTATTTGGGGGTTAGGCAGGAGGAGACGGCAGTTGGTTGCGTGACAAGACCAAATAAGAGCTGGGTTATACACCAATCATGACAACACGATCTCCGTCTATAAAACGAGCGTCAAGCTCATCCACCATGGTACCGGAAGTAAGGTGACCGTAACGAGGTCAGGAGCCATATCTTTCCATTTCAAGGGTCACGAAAGAAAATTTATCTATCAACTTTTTATTGATGATATACAAGAAAAAAAATTATTCTGACTAGCTCAGAAAAATTTAGTTTTCAGTTAACGCAGGGAAGAATGGAGGCGATCGGTGCAAAAGGTAAGTTAATCGAACTGTACCATTGATAAGAAATCACATGATTTTTCTCGTGCCATTTGCCATAGGTAAACAGTCGTAAACTTTTTCAAACACTAAAACTTGTATTTACCCAGCGGGTTGGTGCAATTTTGTCCCTCCGCTTTAAAAAAATTACACGAAGTTGTTTATCTCGAACTGCACTGGAAATTATGTGATTACAGGAAAATGGCGGATCATCTGGTCACGTAATAGAGCTTGCTTTGTCCTTATTGTGTAATATGTAACAGCACAACCCTTCCATGAAAATCCACTTTCAGTTACGCAATCGGCGAACATAATCAAAGGAGAACTAACTCTTGGCATAGTCGTAACCATCGCCGTTGCCACAAACTTCCCATCGTCTCGCTGCCTGTCTTAAATATTCTGTTGTACAGTACCATCTCTGGAGATATAGCGTCACATGTAGTCTCCTTCGCAGCCGCTCGGGCCGGAGTCACCAACGCTCCCCGTCCCCACGCGTGAGGACGGGGAGCGTTGCGTGACTCCGGCCCGAGCTGCTGCGAAGGAGACTACCCTTCCCCCCCTTCCGCTTAAATTAGCGCTCCCCCGAAAAATTTGAAATAATCACCTTTAGTTTCAATTCGAACATTTACGATTTAAAAATATATATATATATAACTGCATATATTAAACCCCTGAAGAGTGAAGCGATTCACGAAACAGGCTTGTCGGGAAATGTAGTTACGTCCTTTTTTCCTCTCGTAATATTTATTCTGCTCTGCTTCAACGTATTGAGCACTGTTCCACGCGAAAATCGACTTACAGACTTCCTATATATATATATATATATATATATATTATATCAAAAATAAGAACTTAGCGTTAACTTGCAATTTTGCGAGGTGACTTCTTAGTCTGTTCTTAAAATATTCAAATTTGCTGCCTCAGCAATTTCCTTTGGCAGATTATTCCAACTATCAATTATACGTATAAAAAATGAGTATTTGAGACTATTTAAGGTCGCTGGTGCAAACTTCGGTTTAAAATGGTGATTGGCTCCTAAAGGCCAAAAATCGTGTGCAAACGTGAAAAAGGCCGAGGGATCAAGTCCATTAAGTCTATTTATTGTCTTATAACACTTGGTAACTGAAAAGAATAAACTTCTTTGCTAAAGTGTTGATCATTTAAGAAGTTTTAGGCGCTCTTCGTTCATCATATCTTGCCCAATTTTTCCAAGGGCACATTTAGATGCTCTACGTTATATCTTGTCCAGGGTGTTTCAGTCTTTTTAAGGTGTGGACACCAAACTGGGGAGCAGTACTCGAGTATCGGACGTACTAGGCTTTTATAAAGTTTGGAAAACAGCTCAGGATT